TGCTCTGTTTCTTGTTCACTCACGCCTGCTCCAGTGTTTCTGCACTATTCTCCTGCATCCGCTTACTGTGTCTATTCCACTCTGCTGTACGTCTCCCTTCTGTCTCTCAGTGCATCTTAGTTATTGAGGTATGTTTTCTGCGTTACTCTTTTCTCCTGTGCCCTCTGTGCTTTGTCCACTGTGTTGTCCTGCTCAGCTTCCCTGTAGACTCTTTTCGGTGTCCTTGTGCATAATTGGTGTTCCCGTTTCTTTGTGTTTGTCCTGTGTTCTGTGCAATGCACTGTCCCTTGCCACTGTGTCCTGCTCCCTGTGCTGTTCTGCATAGTTTCGTTACTTAGTCTGCACGGGTGTGTAAGAGGGCCGCAACTTAGAAGCTGTCCTGCAGTGCAACATCCCCACCATCAGGGGCTCTGGCGAAGACATGGCACTTCTTAGATTCTGCACCTCTTTCACACCTGCATCCACATCCGGTCATCCTGTCTCATGCTCTCTGTGTCTAGAGACTCAAGTGACTCTACAGTTCCTGTGACCAGTGATGCAGATTGCTCTGCAAGTCCCGGAATTAGCATCCACCATGCCATCAGTTCCCAGATGACAGCAGTAATAGATTGTGGACATTAGGAGGTAAAGAGGAGAAAATAGAAAAGAAGAGAAGGAGTAAAGCAGAAGCACAAACTAATGTATGAACTGCTGTTCCTTTTGTCTTTGTGCGAAAATAAGAGTGGAGATTCAGAACTGCACACTCTGAAATACAGGAGGCAATGCCTGGGATTGAAAGGACAAACTACAGTACCCTGGTGTAGAAAAACTATTCAATATTATGCTATGCAGAAGCAACTTCTCACAAGATATTGGATACTCAGCATTCCCTGGGATCTCACTGGAAGAATCATAACAAGACTCTCGCTGTGGGTGGAAGTCAGGGTTTAGGCAAGTATATTTACTAACTTTGTTCCCTGCATATTTTTTTCACTGTAATGCAGCATGTTTTAGTGCAAAGCCCACTTTAAGATCACTGCTTCCCAGATGTTTCTTGAACCATTGTGATAATGAGCTGTACATTGTTTGAGATTGACAGATTTAACAGAACATTTTTTTAAAATGTCCCAAAAAATGTCAGCAAGTTTATAATTTGTTTTCCCCTTCTCAGTAACAACAATATGATAATACCAGTCATTTCCAGCATAAATAACATTCCCAATAATTGCACACGAAGCCACTTTTGCAGCCTGTCACATGGACCTCATTAATATCAAAAGACCTGTACCATGTTCCAAACATTTAAATAGCATAAACTATGCATAAACACCATCCCTATATCAATCCATATGATTATAGACTTACTTTCCACATACTTCTAGCAGAAATGTTTCCTCTTTCTTTCTTCTCTCAGCTATTTTGCTACTACCTTGTCTACATATTGCTCCAACCACCCCAGAAATATCTCTCATAACACAGAAGACTCTTTCAGTTTCATGTAGATACACAGGTAGCCCTTAGCTTATACAGTAAAGCTGAATGCCAGAGAAACGTTTGCTCAGTGGTCTAGGAACCCACAGGTTCCTAGACCACTGAGCCCCCACAGGTCATCAATTTAGAGATACCCCAAAATACTGGCCCTAGAATTATCTCACTCCGGTGTGCGCGACGATACCCAACATGTGTAGCGCGTTCGTCGTTTTCATACGTAGGCACACCCGACACGTGTTTACGCGGTGACGCGCGTGCTCGTGGGGGCGGGGGACTTTTAATTTTTTTTTATTATTATTATTAGATTTATTTTATTTGATATTAATTTAAAAAACTGTTTTGCTTTTTTTTTTTACTTTGACTGCTATCACATGAGGGGGGGCTTGTAAGCCCCCCATGTGATAGCAGATGGTGGTGACAGGTACTCTTTAAGGTGATACTGGGGGTCCAAAAGACCCCCAGTGTCACCTCTACACTATAAATAAGCTATTGAAGTGCAGATCACACTTCAATAGCTTATAGCTGGGCTGCAGGAGCCCAGAACTGACAGCCCAGGGACCGGAAGTGATGCAATCTGCATCACTCCCGGTCCCATAGAACGGGAAGAGGATCGATGAACGGAAGTCCTCCCCAGCTCCCCGCGGACACCAAGGACGGGGCAACGGAGCCCGGGAAACACGGCGGCCGTGTCCGGCAGGGGGGCGGCCCCTTCTTCAGGACACAGAAGCGATCTGGCGACAGGTAAGTCCCGGCGGCAAAAGTCGCCGGGAGTCTGTTTAAACAGCCCCAATGCTGGCGACGTACACTGTACGTCGTCAGTCACGAAGGGGTTAAATAATAAAGACAATGATGAAAATAGAAATACACTAAAAACAGTGCAGAAGCATTCTCCCTCTCCCACTCTCCTACATAATAAGTGTAGGTAAGTCACTACCTAACAGCATCCCACCTTATCTCACCCTTCTCCCCCTCCCTGATGATCGGAACAACATGGAAATGATGTCACTATAGTGACATCACTGGCGTGTCCATTTACATCACATTACCTTAGATCCATCACAATCCGGCCCATCAAAACAAAACTCTGTTCTGTTTATTTTTGTCAGACCTAAATATAGATAGGGGTATTTGGATGTAAACAGAAACATCCTTTTAGATCCAGCTGTCCATAGACTAAGATTGGGCTTCCAATCAGATCTGCCTGAAAAACTAACAGACCTGATTGGATTGCCCATCTGCATGGGGCCATAGGGAATGCCTGCCAATGTCAAAACAAGTGCACAAAAGGTACAAAATGACAACAAGAATGCCAAGCACTCCTTATTTATGACCACCTGCCATGAACTATGACTCACATGGATGACTTGACACACCTTATGCATGTAATGATAATGCTATATGAAATAAATAGATAAAATATAACGGACAGATATACAGTATACATAAAAAAACAGAATAAACTAATAGTAACGTTCATGTTCTAGTCAGTAGTAAGTAAATCTGCTCAAACATTTCATGGGAAAGTTGCATGCTGCATTACTTGTACATAGGGATGTTCAGATACCAAGTACCGTACTAGGTACAAGTACAAATACTTTTCCAGCTCCAGGACTAGACTAGAGACAATTTCAAAAGTTAGGAGGCAGCTGTCATTTTTAAGTAGCATACGAAGCTCCTGGGATTTGTGCATCCCTGTTTTAATACATTAAAAAAATATATATATACATATATAAGTGATGCACCGATAGCATTTTTCCAAGTACAAGTACTGATACTTGTCCAAGTACTCACAGATACAAGTACTGATGCATTTTTGTTTTTTGTCATGTGACAGTTTTTCTAAAACAATACAGAGTAATGATTTCAGGACAGTGGTGGGGCGCCAGAGCCAGGTCCCAGCTGCAACCGCTGCAACCCTGGTAGTTCTCATGAGAATGCCAAGTATCTGCACTGGTATCTGAACACATATGTTTTAATCTCAATGTCTTTCATCAATGTTATTTATTACTCAGCCCTTTTACGTACAAAAAAATACAACTGCTTACTGGAGTGCCTCAGACAAAAGTTTTCTTTAACTCTTGGCGCTAATGGCTGCCAGCTGTACGATCCACTTGCTGTTGCACACTCAAAGTTTTCAACAGTTTATCACATTTTCACACAGACTTGAGGGGCTGCTCATCCAAGGCTCTGGGGCTTCCACCATGAACATAGATAACAAAAGTGAACGGAGCGCCACCTCCGTGTGTAAAATCGTTTATTACAATAAATAAAACAAGGGATAAAAGTACTCACAAACAAACGTTTTCATCAGGCTTTAACAACAAACGAGAGGCCACACAGTCTGTTAACCCAACATTGTATCACCCCGACTATGTAACACGGTAGCCTCCGGTCACATCACCGTCCACCGACCACAGTCAGCCAAGATTGACGCGTTTCAGGGGCAATCCACCTTCATCAGAATCATAGCTTGCTTTCCCTGAGAGTGGGGTATAAGACTGGAAACCGACCATCAGAGAAAGATTCTCCATTATGACTAGTCTTGGAGTGATTGGCTCTACTGCAGCATTACAAGGGATTTGCTATTATACAGCCGTATATGCCGCCCAATGCTTACACAGCCTCTGGGTAATTGATGAATCAGCCCGACATTCAATTCCTGTGGAGATTTCAAATGCATAGGGTGATCTTATATTATGAGCTAAGCAGTATTTCAAACTTAGCACTGCTTATTACTCTGCAATCTGTATCCAATCTACCCACATCTCTCAAGAAAAATGGAATAAGAAGTGAACAATATAGTTCAGGCCTCAAAATTTCCACTCGCCCCCTCGAAATTGGCGAGTGAAAAAGCCCTGATATAGTTCATAATACATGTTACATTGATGATTGCACCATCATAAATGAATTGAAAATAAAGAATTAAAGATAAAAATTATTTATATATGAATTATAACAAAAACTTTTTAAGACCAATAAAATATCCCTAAAAAGGCTGGCCAATACAACATGTGATAGCCTATTAGGGAGGCCTTTTGGACATAAAAAAACAGAAATGATCATGTTACTACTGAAAGAATATAGTTAATGGATGCATACCCACATATAAAAGTGGAAGATTAGAACTTAAAAAACTCTGTTATTCATTCTAAACCATTTTCCATAATGGAGACACGAATTATATATATAAAAATTCCCATAAAAATTAATCCATAAAAATATACACATATATATGTTCAGATCACTGTATATGGACGGTGATCTGAACGGAGGCTACCGTGTTACATAGTCGGGGCGATACCATGTTGGGTTAACAGACAGTGGGGCCTCTCGTTTGTTGTTAAAGCCTGATGAAAACATTTGTTTGTGAGTACTTTTATCCCTTGTTTTATTTATTGTAATAAACTATTTTACACACGGAGGTGGCACTCTGTTCCCTTTTGTTTACTGGAGTACCTGTCCATGAGAGATATATTCTGTACTACAAGACATGTCTTAGCCTCACAGCAAAGACTGGAGATCTGTCTTACTTGAGAGTGGTGAGTTCTGTGAGTGATGGCTGGGTCGCCTTAAGATAGCTCTCTCTCCGTGCTGCAATCTTTGGAGATGGCTTTGGGCTGTTTGTGTCGGAGTCTCCGCTGTCATCATCTCCCATGGCTTTAATGTAGCTGCCACTGCGCATTCGTCGACACGGAATCTCCTCATCTTTACTTGTGGGGGCATATCCACTCCATTCATCCTGGGGAACCTACAGATAAAACAAAGACAATACTAATAAAAATAATGTCTAAATCCTGGTACACAAGACAATGTCTAACCACACTGTGTATACACATCTGGTTCAGGAACATGGCAAAGGAAATACATGAATGAAAGCTAAACTCCTGGCAAACAGCTCAATATACATATAAAGTAAATATGATGGAGTTATTTTCCATGACAAAGTTTTTTTTTCATTTCTGCCCATCACGTTCTAAGATTTTTTCAACTCTTTAACACACCACAGCCCAGTCTGGCAGCGCAGCACACCTGATTTCTCTTTACTGTAGTTAAGTAACACTTACAGCTCTTGTCCCTTCCTCTAAAAACAGAGTTAAAAGAAGCAGCAGACCGGTAAACCCATCTCTCTGTCACTCTGTTCTTTCCTCTTATCAGCATGCATCTTTTTAGCACATGGGAACAACTGCTTTGCTCCTTGTGCTTCTTCATTACATTTAATGATTTATTAATGAAGAGCTGCATTATTTCTATCTTTTATATCTGCCTGGAGCTCAGGTTATCTATATAATAGAAACGCATGTAGATTATATTTTATGAAGTGCATGTGCAAGTTTGCATGGGCTAATGAGTCCTGCCTCACACATGATAAAAGGAATGTAAGGCGTAAACAAAAGCACTCGGCTTGTGGTCTAGTACTCTTATATGGCATGTAATTCCTCTGTGACATCCTTTTATTTTTCTGTGTTGGTGACATAATTCACATAATTATATATTAATAGCTTTTAGATAAAACAAGCTGTCATTTAGATTTCCTGGTGCTTTAAGATCACAGTAAAATAGCTCCAGTAAAAGATGTGCTGTGTGGTTTGCCTTCTGGACATCTTATTGTCTTTCATCAATAAAAACTGAACAATTTTCTTGCTGGAGGCAAGCTAGAATAATGTAGTAAAACATTTCTGAATGTAATTCTCCCTGGAATTTCCCAGAACTGAACGGCTTATAATCATGTGTGGTAAGGCCATTTTTTTGGCTACAAGATGCATCAAATGGAATGACCTGCAACAAACACAGTACATACCCTGCAAGAGTTCACGCAGAAGGGTATTACTAGAAAGGAATTGAATCCTCTAATCAATGGGGGGGTGAGGGGGGGCACTACTCCAGGACCAGGGGATGTGTATGAGCACTGTAGAGAATGGTACTGGGAAAAGACAGCCTGCTCTTCTGCACATTATCCAAGTCAAAGAGACAGCTCATATGTGTGAATTACTGCATCCTCCTAAAGTAGCCGTGGGAAGTCATCTGAGAAAATACTACCTTGCCTTAATTCATTCCTGGAACTGTACTACTGAAAAGCAACGCAGGCGAAGACAAGTGTATTTTCTGAACAAAGCTAAAAGCTCTGTCAGCGACTTCAACAATCTGTCTCATGCCCTTGACACAGGATGTTACTTTGAAATGTGAACACAAGGTTCGAACTAGAATGTTGTAATTCTTTCATGTGTTTTACCAGTAAGCGGCACTGATATTAATGAATAAGTCTTATCAGGCCAAAGTCTAAGAAAGTGGAATACTCACTTATTTGATGCATAGCCGCAGTAGCTAGCTTTTTCTGAAGTATTAAAAGATAATGGTATTGCATAAGAACTGTGCACCAGGATAGCTAGCAAGATTGGATATGCTGAATGTAAATTAAAGGGAGATGACAGCAGCAAAACAATGCACCTGCAGATGCCGGTTGAGAAGAATTTGCTCCATAGTCACTTGACTTCAATAGTTTATCTCTACCTTAGATGTATGCATTCTGCTTGTGAATACCAGGAGCTCACCCATCATAGATCCAGTTTTGTTATCCCATTGAAAAAAGAAATAGAAGAGGGCCCCTTACGGCAGCTCATTCTTCCTTATTGTGGAAAAATGCTTTGCTTTGAAGTTATCAGAAACCCAGGCCAACAACGACTGTTACATGCAAAACATTTGTGGGTGGCCTGGCTTCCTGATAGCTTTTGTTCAAGATGTATTTTTTAAAAATAAAGAAGATTGATGTGCTGTGAGTGTCTACTGTTTCCTTCTTAAAAAGGGATAACATTGACTATATATATAACATTAAGCAGCAGATAGGTTGCCACAAGCATGATGACATTATTACATAGTTACATATTATTTGAGGTTGAATAAAGCCATTAGTCCATCAAGTCCAACCTATTAGGATCTCATTCTAGGAGTACCTGTACCCCTGTAAGTTTTATTTCCCCCACTAGGTTGCGCAGCTTATCAAAGTTGGCCCTTCTGAGGTTTAGGGTTCTAGTCCTTCCAGTACACTTCCTTTTTCTGTTAGGTCTGCCATGCCAAGTAAACCATCCATACCTTGTTGACATGACTGTGGGGTCAATTATAATCATAGCCTCTACTACCTTTAGTGGAGTGGCTACTAAAAATTTAGTGTTGCCAGAGCTGTAGTTTGTTTGACTGAATTATAGTTGGCATTTATCTGGTAATTCCAGGTGTTCTTGCATTGATTGTACCTGCCTGAGTGGGGTGTGATCTTGCTGCAGTGTGGGGCAATCAATGAGAGGACATTATGAGTGTGTATGGCTCACCAGCCAATCACTAGTAGTTTAATGGCTAGTGGTCCATCTTGGGGAAGTGCATATATACTCAGGGGAACTGCCATGTGCTCAGTCTAGTTGTAGTTTAGTTCTGGTTGAAGTTCCAACGTGCACTCAGGCTTAGGCCTGGGGATGGGAATGCTCAAGTGCGAGAAGTGTTGCCTGGGCTGTTAGGTGGTAGAGAGAGTCTTACAGTTTGTCATACTTTGTATCTTCTTCACAATCAAAGTGGACTTTGCTATTTTACATGGTTTTACTATAAGAAACCCTGTTCCGAAAAGTATAGGGACAAGATGCCAGTGCTGAAAACTATTGTGCTGTATATGCCATAAACCTTTATACTCAATTAAAGGGAATAAAGCCATCAGCTTGATGTAATTCATCTTATCAATATATGTTGTTTTAAAATTTTCAAACATTTTAACATTTTGCTCTTGGACATGATTGGATGATGGAAGTCAACAGAGCTTCACCTCATTCATTAAGCTAAGTGCAAATTCCCATGCAAAGTGCAAATTCCCTTGCAAAGTGAACAGCGTATTTGCCATTAGTAAATCAACCCCATTGTGTAGCTGATACAGTTTCTCCTCATTTGTTAAGCAGGGATGAAGAGTGCCCAAAATATGCACTCACTTAAAATACACCATGCTTTACATTTAAAGGAGGACTTAATGATGCTAATACAACTCACAAGAGCTCACGCAGGTTCATAGGTTCTTCCAGAATGCAGGCTATACTGTTACCACTCACTACTCTAAGCTTGGAAGGAGGCATTGGGGCCCCATTTACCACTTCCATGATAATAGGTATTGTAAAAGGAGTACTCAATTTAAGTTGTGGTATTGGTGGTTTTGAGCCTCCTAGAAATATCAACTTAGTCATAACAATAACCACTGCAAGCCCTACTCCTATGCCATTAGCTTCCATGAACTAGGAGACTAAACGTAACAAAATAGTTGTTTACATTACCATGACCTATTTAAACTCTCATAGACTATTACAAATACTACACCTTTTCTATCTTATGTTAGCAAAGTTTAATTTTCAAGTGAAAGGAATGTTGTCTTGCTCTTTTCATGATAAATTGTGCATTTTCGTCAGTAATCTACAATCACTTATCCTCGAACTGTATAAACAAGCAGACCCTAATGAAACACTTAATGTACTGTATTAATCTTCAACTGTGCAACTTCCTCCAGCTTGGTATAAGCACCACAGCAATGGTAAAATCACATCTAAAAGTTCCTGGCACAGGCCAAGCCAAACATCTAAATTACATTGGATACAATAGCAGACATGAGAAGTTCTGATAGATGCAATACACCAGGCAACTGCCCACCTTTGTTATCTAACCCCTTAACATAACTCTTCAACTAACCCAATTCTATTAAGAGGAACTTTACCCATATCTTCAAAATCACAACAAAGACACCTTTAGAAATGTTTAGTAATGGCAATCTACAAACAGATACTTCTAGATAATTGCAGGCTTTTTATTTTTTGCATACCTTATTTTTTTCCCCCTCTCCAATCTTCTCACAGTGGCCATTTTTACTAAGGCCAAATTAATATATCTCCCTGTACTTCCTGGAACTCTGGCACATGTGACTAGGACATGTGACCATGCACATAATCTCAGGGGAGGAAAATGCCTTTCTCTGAGATCTCTTGTATTACAGATCAGATTTCTCAGCAAAGCTCTGCAGATGTACCCTTCCCAGGATGTAACACTTGGGCATGATTACATAATTTGTGTCAAAATGGACCAGGAAGTGGGAAAAAAAATTGTAAGTAAAAAAAAAATGTTTGTTTAGCTAATGAATGTAAGATGATTTAATTTCAGCATGCAGAGCTGTATGCTGATATGATTTTTTAGTCAAAGGGGTTAAAGGTCCACTTTAACCTCTAAACCAAACCTAACCCTTTAATTTACCCAATTCTTGTAATTCCTAATATTTATAAAAATAATAGTAATAATAACAATAATAATTATACATTGTTGTTATTATTATCATCATCATCATGTCAGGTTAATATAAAATATTGCAAGTAAATACTAGCCTTTTATTTAGCCAGAAGGTGTTCTAGGTAGCTTTTCACAGCATGTGGATTCTCTTTCTCTCTCAACATCTTGAAAACCCCCACTATTTATAAAGATCAATGGTTGAGGTTGAAATTTACACAAAGGACTAAACGACTCATTGCAGCGACTTCTGCCTTATCAGATGGTTCAGTCCCAAGTCACAGTGAAAGTGATCTTGCCTGAAATTATATAATAATTGCTGACTCTTTGTCTAACACATAATGATCTGCAATTCATCGTAATATAATAATATAATACATGTAATATAATAAATGTTTATTTGCACAAGAATTTTCAAAGAATATATATATTTAGGTAGCCAATGCTCCTTAAAAA